GAGCATAATATGATATATAAAATTATTATCTTGGTCAGTTCATTACATATCTTGTTAATTTCAGGCATCACCCAAGATATTCAAAGTTGAAGAGAAACTATCCAGAGGATGGGGTGGTGAGAATGCATATCATGTGAGTGGTTACCGCTACTTACTTGTAGACGGTGATAGATGCATCTCTCGGGCATCTCCGCCTGGAAAAGTAACAACTCTTACAAAGGTTAGATAACTTCCTTTTTTCCTTCTTTTGGTTGTCAAAGACTCAAAGCTTTCATTTCATTCGAGAATCCACCTATTGTAATGCTTGCTTTGCTTTTTTGAATATAGTGGAAGTTCCAATATATGTGCCTATTTAACAGCCATGTGAAAATAGTAAAGATTTTAAAGATTAATTCGTCTCTCTAAGTGCGGCTGCTCTTGCTCCTCAACTTCAATTACACTTAGTCACATTATATGGGTACTCCAACACACTTGCTACTAACAGATGCAGCAGGACATCAGAGAAGATGAAAGCTTTTAGAACCTCATTATTATTGTATTTGCGAAGATAAGATTTTTATTGGAGTTGCAATTGTGGGGGTATAGCTGACGAAGTTTGACCAAGTTGGCATCTTTTTGTTGCTTGCAATCAGAAACCTTTATACAAAATTAAATATTGGTGCCAAGGCAAAGTAAAATTAATATAGTTTCATGGAATATGTTTCTTTGGATATGTTATATCCAAATAATTTGATATGTTGGAGACTTCTTGTTCTTAGCTTCCTTTGGCGGTGAGGTGCTTGTTGTGGTTACCATGATGCTTAGAGTTTTTGCATATGGCTCACAGTGAGGTGTTTGGCTATCTTGCACCCTTAATGTGAGCCCTCTGCCACAAGCAAGTAAAACTGAAAACTAGAAAGAAAAAAAAAACGGGTGCTATAATAAATTTGTCAATTAGACATTAACAATTTTGAATTTATTTGGTACACAGTTTCATGTATTTGGATGGTTGGTTGGTTGTTATTTTGAAAATTCTCATTTATTTATTGACAAGCAAGTTTTATTTAGTAGTTTCTTTTAAAGATATACTGAGTCTGCACCTAGGATACTTGCACTAGGTGACCTATTAAGCCCCATGTCAATCAATCTTTTGTCGAAGGTGATTTGATAGCACACTGCTTCTAAGGGTGTGTGTGGTACGAAGGAAAATATTTAAAATATTTTTCAATTTTCCCATGTTTGGTTGGTTTGAATGTTTTGGAAAATGTTTTCCTTGTGATAGAAAAAGTATTTTCTTTCACTTCAACAAAATGAGTGAACCTTATTGCATGAGGGCCAGTTTCCAAGAAAACATTTTTCAAGAAGCATTTTCCTTCATACCAAACACGAGTGTTAAATAAAATTCTCTGATGTTTACCTTATTGCATGAGGGCCAGTTTTACTTTAAATATATTTACCTTGTGACCAGTTTTCTTGTTAAGTTCGTGAACATTTGTTTGATAAGGTAGTCATTAACTGGTAATATTCTTTTCTCATAGAACGATTTAGCCATGGTAATCAAGTTTGTGTACTGTAATAACTAGATTTGACTGTTGCTCTGAATAATCTGATAATGCATACAGGATTCTTTAGTTGCAATGAATAAGCTCCGAGAAGAGGTTGACTTAGAAAAGAGCAGAGCTAAATGTGATGGCTCAGACAGTGAGAAAGACCAAGAAATTTGTATTAGAGCAAAAAATGGTGCTTGGGTGATTTCCCGGTTGACGCGAGGGAAGGAACTCTACATGGTACTTGAGAAAGCCAATGAGACCCTTCTTTATGCCTCTGAAGCTGTTGAAAAGTTCAGTGACAGGTAAAAATTGCCCAAGGAAGGTCTAAGATTGAGCATTTTTACTGAAAATTTTCACGTCTAACCACCAACTACTTAACTGCATCATAAGGTGTTTTGAACCCTACATGTGCCTCAACATGTCCTCCTTTAATTCCTTGTTTTCATCATTTTCCAATAGGATTTAACTTGCATACATTGACAATGTAAAAGTCAATATCTTAACTTGTAGTCAGTAACCTGGCTTATTTTTCAGTTACTAATCTCACTTTCTATGGACGATCTTACGAGTCTTTAAAACTTCCTTTGGAATAGTGTTCGTCTCATGTTAACTTTCTTAAACTATGCAGGTATTGCAGTGGCGCTTTTTCTTTGTAACAGGGAAACTAGTTTTTGGTATTGCCGAGACACAGGATTCATACAAAAGACATAGCTACATATCTTATGTTGTTGTTAATTCAAATATGTTCTACATATCTTATGTTGTTGTTATTTCAAATATGTTTGTACTGTTTATAAATAAATAAAAACTTGATCCTCTCCTCTTCCACTTTGAAAATCTAAATCACTTGTATAGTGTATGCATTTTTTCTCCCTGTAATTTCAAGCACCAATTTGGAGATTATATTATATATTTAATATTATCCTCTTACAATTGAAATCTGCTCCCCTCTCATCGTTCTTTACCCCCTGTCGCTCCCCACCACATAAAAAGGAAACAGAAGCACAAGTATTTTAGTTCTGTATTTGTTTAATTTTTGAAGTTCGAAATGAAATAAAATAAAAGGTGCCTGTCGAACGAAGTGGTGAAATATTTGAGGTCAGTCACTCCCAATGTTGTTTATGCTTAATGTTCTCATTAGGGGTGTACAAAGGAAACCGATAAACCGCACCAACCCGATAATCTGAGTCAAACCGAGAAAAAAATCCGACTATGGTTTGGTTTGATTTGGTTTGGTGTTGGAGAAAAAAATCCGACCATAATTAGTTTGGTTTGGTTTTAACTAAAGAAAGTCAAACCAAACCAACCCGATATTACATATATACAAATTTTAGATAGATTTAATATATAAATATACTTATTGTGTTGTAATTTATAAATATTTCTTAAACTTTTTCATAATTTTATCTTTTAATGTGTTATTTCAAGGTTGGACTTAGAACTTTTGAATGTTCAAATAAGTTTATAGCCATTAATATTAGTAACTTAAATAATGCTAACAAAAGCCCAAACCAAAATCAAATCAATATTAATGCTAACAAAAGATATTCAACTCAATACTACCAACGACAATGTATTGAATATCTATTTTTTATTTTGCGATAATTTAGATAGAAGTGCATAACTTATTTTTATTTTTTCTTTAGCGTTTAGTCATGTAATTAATACTCCCTTATTAGTCTACTTATTTTAGTATGACCTAGTACTTTTAGATTATGTTTATTTTTATAATTAGCAATATTTATATTACATAATTTTATTGTCTTTATTGTTGAATATTTTAGGATAATGCCATGACGCATCTCATATTTTGTATTATTTTCTTGGAAAATACCTTATATAGTTGTATCTTACTAGGATTAAAGAAATATTTTGAGCACATGTCATATGTTTTGTGTTACGAAGATTTTACCGGAAAAAAACCCGAAAAATCCGAATAACCCGAAAACCCGAGAAAAACCGAGATTGAAAAACCCGAGTTTTATTGGTTTGGTTTGGTCTTTAGATGTAATAACCCGACACAATTGGTTTGGTTTGGTAATTACAAAATCCGAACCAACCTGACCTATGTACACCCCTAGTTCTCATATATAAAATGTCTCGCCTTACGCCCACGCCTTTTAAAACACTGATTAATGATACATGGATAAAGCATTCAAATGACAAAACTGCCCTTGAGAGTCTCCAAAGACCCTTTTTCAAACCCTTGTGCAGTTTTAAACCAAACAAAAGTTGGAAGTTATATACTATATCCAATTATTAATGTAATGACCTAAGCGCTCTTTCATTATAATTCTTGCATTACTTATTCCTACATTATTAATCCTTGCATTACAATTTCTGTATAACTTAGATCTAAACCTGACGACCCTATTGTTTTTCATGGAAATTTGTATAGATACACGTGTTCTCTTTTTGGATAAAAATTTAGATATATACTAGTTCCTGTTGAAGCTGCTCGCCATATTAGCCTCCTAGCTACAATTTTCCTTCATTAGATAACCCAATCAAGGAAACAATGTTATACCAAGACAGGACTCATCAGACGAAGAAGATGAGCTAGTTGGAATGTTGAAGATGAATCAGTGAGTCTGTACCAATTGGAGAAGAAACTTTTCTTCTAAGATTTTAATGGAGTTTTTTCTCTTATTTTCTACACAAGAACTAGAATAATTTGTCTAGTGGACAACTGCTTTGGTGTTTTCCCTAAGTTTATTTTTCTTCACAAAAAAATCTTAAAGAAAAAAAAAATCATCCCTTCATAACTTTCATGTGCGACAAGAGTATGTTAACTAAGGCAAACTCAGGCAGAACCTTTTCTATCTCTTTTTTTTTCATTTTTATTTATTACAATATTATTTTAGCTTCCCACCCGGTGTATGATATTTACTTTGTAAGTCGGAATAATTCAGATTCGCATCGTGCAAAGGTCATTAATGAGGAAGCACTCTTAACCAGAAATTCTTTTATTCATAGGACTCGAATTCAAGAGTCAAGACATTTATTTAAGGATGCAGGGATCCTATTTTTCCTATTACAAGGTCCACAACCTTTGGATTTGTTCCCTGTCAATTAATTACAAACATTATTTTATACTTTAAATTTTGAAATTTAAAAATCATAAGAGTATAACAACACAATCAGGTTGTTGATTAAGACATAAATTGTTTGATTTCTTTGACTTTCATTTGACTAATTGTTAAGACTAGATATCCTTGTCTCCCTCCAAATTAACAAACGAGAAATCTATAAGTGGGATCAAGAAGAAATTTCGCATGCCTAATCAAGTTACTTAAAAGGAAGCAAAATGTTATATAGCATATTTTTGCACCACTTAAAATTTATGTTTTTTTTTTTTTTCAAATAAAATATATTTTTATCCAATCGAAAAGCAGTAGTACACTTATGGGTACTTACGCGGGAAATTCCCAAGACGGTTAACAGAATTTAATATCCAAACTAACCATTTTACGCGTATTTTTACGCGTTTGGCCTATTATTACCTTTTCTTCTTCTCTCTGAAGTCTCACCTTCATCTCTCATCTTCTCTACTCTACTCTACTCTACTCCTCCATTTTCAGCTTTACTTTGATCACTGATCTCTTCTCCAATGGCTTCTCTAAACCCTAATACTTCTCGAACTCCAATGTATCCCCAAGTAGTCATTGACCAAAATACCCCTTTTCCCCCTTCCTCCTCCTCCCGTCAAAATCTTTACCCGACCATTGACATGAACGACCTCGTAGAAAACCTCTTTCCTGAAAATGACCAAAGTACCCCTAACGAGCAGCATTATTCACCTTCTGCCCCTCTTGAAACCCTCGAAGAAACCCTACTCACTATCCCCGGTTCCATTCTCCATTTGATCGACACACACTACTCCGTCGAACTCGCCGCCGGCGACTTATCCGTTCATCGTCTCCGGCAAGACAACAGTGTCGTCGCTGTCCTCGTTCGTGTCGGAAACGACATCCAGTGGCCGTTGACTAAGGACCTTGCCGCAGTAAAACTCGACGATTCGCGCTACTTTTTCTCATTTCAAGCTCCTAAAGATGACGAATCGGATAAGGAATCATCGGCTAATGACTTGGCGAATGAATCGTTGAATTATGGTTTGACGATTGCTTACGAAGGTCAGGAGAAATTACTAAAGCAGCTGGATGGCATTTTGGAAAATTATAGCATCTTTGCGGTGCAGAAAGTGGAGGAGAAGGCCGCGGAGGTGTTGGGCGGACCGGTGGCGAAGGAGTTGTCTCCGGCGGATTTGAAGTCGGAGAAGAAGAAGGAAGTGTTGGAAGAGCGATGCGCGGCATATTGGACCACATTGGCGCCTAATGTGGAGGAGTATAATGCCTCGGCGGCAAAGTACGTGGCTTCGGGGTCAGGACACTTGATAAAGGGGATTTTGTGGTGTGGAGATGTGACTGCTGATAGATTGAAGTGGGGGAATGAGGTATTGAAGAATAGGTTTAAGACAGGTTCGAAAACTGAGGTTAGTCCTGAGACATTGAAGAGGATTAAAAGGTATGGTCTTTTGCTTGATTGTCAGCTAAATATCTTTGTTTTGCAATTGTTGGTTATCGTTTTGATTAGCAATCTTGTGAGTTCTTGAATATTTTGCAAAGTAAGATCAAGTATAGTGACTAGTGAGACTGACTACCTGTTGAATTCTTAAATGGGCTACTCCCTCCATCCCATTTTATCTGATGATCTTTGACTAGGCACACATATTTTAAGAAAGAAAGACATGTGAAACTTGTGGTCTAAAACAAGTCATGACATTTGTCTCGATAAATCATCTTATCAAGAGTAAAATGAAAATTGTAAAGTTGAATTCTTTCTAAATAGAGAGGTGTCATCATTTTTTAGACAGACTAACAAGGAAAGGGTGTTACATAAATGAGGAACTAATAAAATGGACTATGAAGTTTAAATGTGAAGGGAAGTGCTTTTTCCCCCTCTTCACATGGGAAAGCAGGAAAGTTGAAGTAGAGGATATTTCTTACTGCCCAACATTAATGCATGATGCCTTTAGTATTTTAAAGATAGGGTGAGTCAGTGAAAGGTGTGGAAGTGTTGAACTAGAAAAATTTAGCCTCTTCTTTTGTGCACACAAGGCTTTCTCTTTTGTTTTCTTGTGATGAACTTCCATTGAATGAGAGGATATAGAAGGTAGAGATGGTTTGTCGACATTAATGCATGACGCCTTTAATATTTTGAAGATATGTTGAGTCAGTGAAAGGTGTGGAAGTGTTGAACTAGAAAAATTTAGCCTCTTCTTTTGTGCACATAAGGCTTTCTCTTTTGTTTTCTTGTGATGAACTTCCATTGAATGAGAGGATATAGAAGGTAGAGATGGTTTGTTTGATATTAGGGCAGTTGGAGTGAAATTTATATTTTTACTCATTACAAGGTAATCAATTATGACTCTAAAGAAAGGGGATGTCCTTGTCAAAAAAAATAAAAAAAGTTATGACTCTAAAGAAACGGGATGTAATTATCTACACTTGCCAGGATATATGACAGGAAATGTTCTCGGTGTTATAGTGATTTTGCTAATCCCGGTGAGCTGTTGGACTATGAAACTTTATGATTTTCTTAACTATTTTGGCTACAAATGTCTTAAAACTGTTAATCGGTTTGAATATGTTAAGCATCCTTAAAGAGCATGTACGGACCAAAATAATTTTGATTCACCTGAGTGTATCTAGTTTCTATTACCAATAATGAAGCTTGCGACGTAAAATTCCTATAAATTTTGAAACCTGCTATAACTAAAACTTTAGCGTGAGAAGCTGCCATGTGAGACTTTCTTTGATAGAGAAATACAGAAATAAGTGACTCAAAATCCTGCCTTTTCCCATCGTTTCCACTCTTGGGAAATGGAATATATCATAAACCTGGGTTCTTTTTTTTTTTAATCTATCACTTGCTGATGGACAAATACATCTCTTTAAGAAGATAAGGAATACTCATGTGAATAGTTGGTGTAATATTTGCGACTTATTTGTTCGGCTGTGTTTTTCAGGGTTAAGAGAGTAACAAAGATGACTGAGAAAGTGGCGGTTGGAGTCCTTTCTGGAGCTGTGAAGGTTTCAGGATTCGTTACCAGGTCAGTTGCAAATACCAAAGCAGGAAAAAAGTTCTTTAGCCTCCTGCCTGGGGAAATGGTTCTTGCTACTCTTGATGGATTTAGTAAGTCAAATATCTTTCTCTCTCTTTCTGACTCATTTTGATATCTTCTGGAATCTGTATGTCGTAGGTTCTGCTATTTGCTTTTCTATCTTTTCTCCCTACTGCTTCAGGTCAGATAAAAGTTCAATCGCAGCGATATAATACCCATATTATCACAGACACATGGATTAGCTAAGACGTCATTTTTAAACAGTGTAGGATTCATGGCGGCAAGGACAATTCTGACAGGAATAGAATAAATATGTATAGGTCTTCATCAATTGTCTTTAATATAAAGGCATAATACCTCGGGACTCCCTGAACTTGGCACCGTTTATCAATGCACACCTGAACTATTTTGGACATCTAACCACTTGTGTCCCATTAGGAGTTTAATCAGGCAATTGCTAATCCTAATACACGGGTATAGAGTAGAGAGAAAAGGGTAAGAATTCCAGTTTATGTATTTGATTCTGCCTTAAGCTATTCTTGATCGATATGTTTGGATTAAGAGAAGAGAACCTCCTGCCACCTCTCTTTTTTCTTTTGCTTTTGATAAGCTAAGAGAACTATGCAGAGGGAAAGGGAAGGAGGTAGGAGAAAAGAGAATGACACAAGTTTTGTTTTGGGTTTATTATGGCATAATTTGACATTATAAAAATACCCTTTTATTCATGATGCCAAGTTCCCCTTTTAGATTACAAAAACTTGAATAAAACAGGTATAGTTTCCTACTTTTTCTGTTTAAATATAGGTGGAAATGAGATTCAATCTTTATTTCATTACCTTGCCGTTCCCATCTCTCCTTTAATTCTCTTTCTAAAATCTATCAGAACTTAAAATTTTTATCTCTCTGATTCCCGTCCTTTCCTTTCTCACCTAATCATTCAATTCAGACGTAATATCAATCTTCCTATATCAGAAAAGTATTACCATTGCATGCTACAGGAATTAAGTAAAAGCTACCACCGTGCACAATGGGGTAGTATGCAATGTTTTGAATGGAGGAGACTGCAGTATAATTCATTGCTATAAGGGGGACTTCAGTTCTTTATATGTCTCTGGATTCTGATGTTTTCTTTCTTTGTCCTCCATGGCAAGAATGAGTTGATTACCAGTAGGTGAGGAAGCGGTAGTCAATTTATGATATGATGACGAGCTTGGTCGAAGCACTTTTCTGCGTTGAAAAAGGATTGAGTCAGTTTCACTTGGGCTGTCAAACGGACAACTTTGAGTAATTGTTTTATGTTTGAGTGAAGTGCTAGTTGTAACCCTAGCTTTTAGATGGTTGCTCCTGCTTCCTCCCTCTCACACGGGAGTCCAAGTGGCACAAGGGGGACATGGAACATTAACTTTATGCATCTGGCTGGTGTTACAGTTAGAATACAATATGTATACTGTGCACTCTTAAGATGATAGATGGTGGTTTCAACTTCATAAGTATTTGTGCTACTTCTCACAGCAATGCAATTTGTATTTGGCACAAGTAGATGCAATTTATTTGTTTTGTTTAAAATTAATGATTAAATTTGGCAGAAGTCTAATGCCGATGTTGTTGTTAATAGGCAGAATATGTGATGCTGTTGAAGTAGCTGGAAAGAATGTGATGTCTACATCTAGCACTGTCACGACTGAATTTGTTTCTCACAGGTGAAGCTCAGTTGTTGTACAGTTCTCCAATACCTGAAAAACTTGCCGAAGAAAACTGGATAATTGTCCAAATGGGTAAAAAAGGTGTATCAAAGAAAAAGCTCTCCTTTCCCTTTTTCCTACTTTAACTTTGCAAACATTTATGATAGAGTGTATGATCAGTTATCTTGGCTACATATGCTTTTTTTTGATGTTTACTAGGAATGAAAACTAGGACTTTCATATGGTAATTGACCTCCATCTTTTCATTGCAATACTTTTCATTCATTTTGTCACTCAACTAAGTGCTAATACACTATGTCAGCGGGGTAACACACTAAAATGAAGACATGCAGCTCTAATTATTCAGATATAAATTAAAAGTGAATTTGCCTTTTGTAGGTATGGAGAAGAAGCAGCTAAGGCAACCGGTGAAGGGCTTGATGCTGCAGGGCATGCTTTTGGAACTGCCTGGGCTGTGTTTAAGATCAGAAAGGCACTGAACCCCAAGAGTGCCTTGAAGCCTACTACCTTAGCCAAATCTGCTGCTAAAGCTGCTGCTGCGGCTGCTAAAGCTGATAAGAAGGCTAAGAGTTCCAAGTAGTCACTGCTGATTATTGTTGTTGACTTCTCCAGTGGAGGTGCTGCCAATTAGAACCCACTCTTACATATTTCAGCTTTATTTAAGTTATTAATCATGATAAGAAATATAGGTCTTTATTGTAGATATACTGTTGTAGATTAAATTGTCCACCCAAGTTCTCCATCTCTACCTTCTACCCTCTGGTTTTAAGTACTATTTCTTATAGTGGGTAGTGCTGGCAGGCAATTTTTGCATTTTGTTTGAGCAATAGCTTCCATCATTAGGTTAAATCACAATGTTAGTGGGTTGCAATCATGCTACTCTTTTGTTGCTCAGAGAATCCTCAAGCTTTTGATTCTTTCTGCACACTTTTGTATTGTGCTTGTTAGTAGTTCAGATTTGTTAATGATGATAGTATTGTCAAGGATGATACACTCATGTCGATTCAATAGGAAAGGAATGTACACATTAAATTGTTCATAGGGAGTAAGGAAAATATTGATACCGGGGTAGATTCGGAGTATAATTAAAGAAAACTAAGCAATAGATGGATTTACGAGGTTACTTAAGGGTATGGCCTACTGTTTGATTTCTTCGCATCTTTCTAAGCCTTGATGGGCAGAGTTACTTAGTACCTGTGCTAGTGAGAGGTCCTATTCCAGGTCCTCTGGTGTAGATTTATATTTGATGTTATAAGGAAAGCTCTGTTTTGATTTCAATGTGTTCTTAATTACTTCATGTAGTCTCTTTGCTTGATATGTAGATATGAAGCAAAATCTGGAAGTGCATGCCAAAATGCATTTTGTTTGAAATTTAATATATGAAATAGACACCATTTAGATCTTACTTGCTATCTTTGCTTTTCTGTGCATATTTCGGCCCCAGATTCGTGTGAAGTATTGGTAGCAACGCGGTATTCCTTTCTACTTGTGAAGCAGTATGTTGTGGTGGCCCATGGGAAGGCTCAACTTGGCTGTGGCTCTGATCAGCAAGCTGATAATTGTAAAAAGATTTGGGAAGTTGTGAGTGGTGGAGAGTGGAGACGAGCAGCTCTTAGCAATGGAGATTGGGCATTAGAAGAAAACATTGAGATAACAGGCAATTGGGGCCGTCCTCATCATATTATTTTTGTGTCTGTCTATGTGTGTACAAGTGGGAGTCTGCTGTAAAATGTGTGAAAGAATACTCTTTTTATTTTGTTTCAATTCCTCATGAACTTGATACCAACCAGTTGGGATTAAAATTTGATTAATTATTACATTTACATTAGATATGGAGTTTGTTAGGCATGTTCTTAGTCTTGTTATATACTTGTATGGCAATGTAAATAAATGAGTGACTTCAAGAATCTCTAGTCTAAGAGAACCTATAGTTTGTCCTAAAAGATAATTATATTCAATATTGAAATGGGTAGGTTCCTATATTGCAAAATCGTTACGAAGGGTTGAAACAGTGAATATTTACTAGTTTGTGATTGAGATATAGTTAATCAATTGATGGACCGTTTATTTTTTCTTTTCGATTGCACCATCAGCTAAGCTTCTAATGGCGCTATAAAATAATATACACCTCATTCATACATTCGTTTAACAAGTTTTTTCTTGATCATACCAGACTAGTTAGAATTAGTGAGATAAGTACTTTTTAAGATGCATAAAAAGCTGTAGCAGTTCTTCTTCTTTTACCAGCACACGATTAGGAAAATCGCCCTGATGTCAACGGGTCATGCACCCAACGACATAATCTCTGTGGAAAGACAAACAAACATGTGTGATTTCAGTAGGTGTTTGGATGATATTTGAGTTGAAAAGAATCCGTGGAAGTGAAGCTGCTTTTAAATATGAATTTTACATGGAAGAGACGTTTGTAAAAGTTGAAGATTTGTGAGTGAAACTAGTAATAATATTTAATTTGGTTGTAGTTCTTACCACTTAATTTATCTTTTTAAACTTAGAGAAATATTTTGGCTGCATAAATTATGTTTTTTTAGATACCAAAGATTGATGGATGGTTGTGAAGCAATTATAAAGGCAAAAGAAGATCAGAGAGATGAAGCAAAATGCTTAAAAGCTCTGTATCTGTTCAGAAAAAACCGTGTAACACATATGTCGCTGACTCGTATCTATTCGATTTTTACAGCTATAAAAGCTTAGTTTACTGCTGCAAAAGGGCAGAAAGCAGGTTAAATATGAAGGAAAATAAAATATTGGCCCATGCAGGTCTCGAACCTGCGACCTTCGCGTTATTAGCACGACGCTCTAACCAACTGAGCTAATGGGCCTTGATGCTACTTACCCTGTGTGTTTGAATCTAATTAAAATAGTTCCGGATTAAGTATTCTCTTTTTACTCCTAATTTAATTTTCTTTTCGTGAACTTTTATGAAAATATTTTCGTAAAATTTAATTCTAAACCTAATTCAGATGCCATCTACGTTAGTCATAGATTTACCTTATTGAATAAAAAACTGCTGTAGAAAAATCAACGTTAAAGTTGATTCTCAAAAAGTATTCAAAGAAACCAAGATTCTAGCCATGATGAATAGTTAAAGATTTTTCAAGACAGCACCTTGTCTTTGAGTCCACGAGCCTAACTAACATTATGGATTATTTTAACTTTAATCTAATTCCATTTTCAAGTTAGTATACATGTTAGCGTAAACTTGTTCTCCTTTAGTTCCATACGTTCTCAAGGAGGGGAAAGTAGTACATATATGGGTGCTAGGTAGTACTAATGTCCATAGGAGCAGTAATTGATTTGGTGCCTTTGGAATTCAAAAGGATATAAATTCAACTTTTGCCTCTATAGCACAAAACATCCAATAAATTTACACTTTTTTTTAATGATGGTGTCTGGGCCAACTTGTGCGAACTTGACTAATTCTATCGGTTAGCTGCTACCTCCCACAAGTACTAAGTAACTCTGGCTTTGACAGATGAAAAAAATCACACCTTTTATGTCTCCGTTGGGATTTGACCTGTTATGTCATGAGATTTTTCTCTGATGAGTCTTTCTCCTGATTGAATGGACTCTTCTTTTTCGCTGTCTTGCAATACTGGAATTACACCGAGGAAGATGCCTTGGCTCAAGCAAGCAATACTTCTGTTCTACTTCAGTATAGGCTTTGCCATGGAAGGTGGAGTGTACCTTTGCCAGAGGCGGATGGACTATAGAGCATAGATATAAATGTGAAAAATCCAACAAATATTTTGATTGAATTATGTAGCCATAATTTTAAAAGCACAATGGGTTAAAGGCTGAATCCCTCATATATAAATCTTGGATCTTTTCTTTTATGATCTAGTACTTGTTTAATCAGGATTTGTTTTTTTTTTCATAATACAGTTGCAACTGCTCAGGATTTGATGAAACGTGAAGAAAGACCAGCAGTATGTTGGATCATCCATAACAACTAGATGCCTTTTGAACCACGGAGCTATTCATTTTCACCAGAACATCTGGAACTCACTCATATTGCTGATGTTTACGTGCTCTCCTTTTGACTTCATACAAGTAACTAAATGCTATGTTGGTCGGACTCTCCAGAAACATTGTCGCGTGCGTGTCGGATCATTTAAAAGTAGTGTATTTTTGAAGGATCCGACACGGGAGCTACAGCATTTTAGAGAGTCCGCACCACACAGAGTCTAAATGTCACAACTGTTGCTGCAACGGCAACTCCAACTGCAAGTCCTGCCTTATGATGAATAGAAACAATATCCACCTTTGCATCTAAATGCATAATGAGTGGGCTTAATTTTTAACAAAATGCTTTCCTCCTACAGCAAGTTTCAACTCTTTGAAATCTAGTATTACTCCTAGTTATCAAAAAAGAAAAAAAGGAGAAAGAGAGAGAGAGAGATGAAGCTTCCACCTTTGTAAAAACCAATAATAAATGAATCACTTGAGATAGGATATTGCTACTTGAATATATAACAAGATTAGTCGGACTTGTCCTTTTAACTTAGGGAGGACCGGGACAATTTGCCAACCAACCATGTCAGCCGCTTCTCAAGTTTGAGAGATAAGAACAACTCCCTAGCAGCACGATTGTAGAAGAGATCCAAAGCAGCATAATATACTTGGTCATCGACACCTTCCAATTCATCCAAAGCTCTAATACAGTCGGTTATGCTGAAATTTTCGTTGCACTTGTTCATAGCAGATGCTCTAAGTCTTGAAGCAGCAGCCATCTCAGATATAGCTTTTGCAATAGCACCATCAACCCCCTTACGCCCTCTCTTTCGACATACTATATCAGTAGGTGAGCTCACAGAGTGAAGAATTTCTTGCTCATTGGTATCGGGACCTTCTTCAGACTCTGAATATGACCACTCTTCCTGAGACAGTGTTGAACCAGGGAGACAGTCCTTGTGTCTAGTAGATCCATTATAAGTCCCTTTACTTCCAGAATCAGCAAATATCACGCTCAGTTCCTTGTAAAATGGGCAGCCTGTGCTCCTTATGGTCTCTGCATCTGGATTATCCTGATTAGTACATGTCAAGGAGAGTTTTGTGACGGATGATTTCTGAAGAACAACATCTGACTCTACTAAGAAATTACAAGCCCTTGACATGAAAAATTTTGCTAAGGTAAACAGTGATCCATCCATAGATCACACAGGCATTGGAAAAGAAAGTCTTATTCACAACCTGTGCGTTAGGAGATAAAAGAAAACTAAATTGAAAAGGAGATTTCAACTTGCAAACACAAATGACAAATGTGTCCTAGCGGCTAAAGGTGTTTTTGTTCAAAATAGACAACGCGGGAATACAAACCTTGATGTACTTGTCCCAAGCTTCATCTGTTGCTGTTACTAAACCTGTAATTTCCTCCCATTTGAAATTACTATGATCAAGTAGCAACTTCATAGTAGCAAACTGCTTTCTTAGTGCAGCATATCGATACTTTAATTGCTCCTTCTCCCATGTAAGACCAGTTCTTTTATGGAACTCATCACAAATGCATTTCCATCCCTTCTTACTAAAAGACTTGTTTTGCATATGCCCTTCATGAACTTGGTCGACCATTACCTCCAGCATTGTCTTGGTAAGAGATGTGGTCCACTTTGCTCTACACTGGGATTCCCGCTGCTGCATAGATTGCTGTGTTTTGGAACGAGTAGACCTCCCACTCCCAGCCATCTATTTGATTGAGTAAAAATACAATGTGGACAAGTTACAGCAGTATTATACCTAAAATGACAAGTAAGATCAGATCACAGATCACAGAAATTCAAGCATATGACTGCATGAATATTTACATTTTCTTTCGTATAGCTTTATAAGCTTGAAAGAGCGGTTCAAAAATCCTACGTAGTAACTTTCGAACTTCTATCACAAGAGAAAGGCTTTTTGTCTTCATAGATATTAAGAGGTATCACCAAAGACACTTGCATTGACTATTTAGTATTTACCCAGGGGTTATTCACAGAGTAATCCAAACCGGGGGCGGAGCTAGTAAGAGGGAATGAGATTCACTTCCCTTCGCCGAAAAATTATACAGAGCAACAACAACAACAACATACCCAGTATTATACTGAGCAAGTAGGGTAAAAATAAATTTTTTTGGTTATATACAAATTGTTGAATCCCCGGGAAAATTCTAGTGTAGTGGTAAAGCGGGTTAAAAAGGCTTTAAAGTCACAAGTTTGAATCCCAACTGTTTCATTCTAATAACATTTTGAATCCCCTTATATAAATTTCTAACTCCGCCTCTAATGCAAACTACACAGAATTCAGAAGTAGGACTCGTATAACAGTTATCCAAAAGGCATCAGAATTGAGATACAACAGGTAACTTTACTTGAAAGGAGAAAATGCTCTCCTTTAGTTAACCAAAAAACAACAACAACATACCCAGTATTATCCCACTTCTCTGCCTCCAAGTTTTAATTTTTCATGTATATACAGCTGCAAAATAAACCAATTAGCTCTTAAGCCTACCACAACAATTTGTAGTCCCAGGGTAATGTTGACCTTTTTCAACAATTTCCATCTGGTAATTCTGACACATTAGACATTAAAAAAATAAAAAGAAGTAATACATGCATAAATATGTATCTATTTCATTCAAAAAGACCAATGAGTACAACTTCACTCTGGCCACTTGGATACATGGTTCAAATCTCGCCTTACCCCTCTGATCTCGCACCAAAAGTTAACAAAATCAAAGAAACCTTATTCCATTTTAATTAGGCCTTAACAATTCTAGAATTTAAACAGCTTGTGGGTTTGATCCTATTGCAGTGAATGTTGCCAGTTTATACAACAAGACCCTTGTTGGTTCAAAATCAAATTAAACGTCAATGGCAGGGCCATAATTGGCGATAAAGACAACCCTAGAAATTGGCGA